TGTAGCACGAATGGGGAGACGAGGAATGCGTATAGGATATTGGTTGGAAATCCAGAAGGAAAGAGATCACAGGGTAGACCAAGGCGTAGGTGGGTGGACAATATTAGAATGGATCTTAGAGAGATAGGATGGGATGGTGTGGATTGGATAGATCTGGCTCAGGATAGGGACGAGTGGAGGGCTCTTGTGAACACGATGATGAACCTTCGGGTTCCATAAAATGCTGGGAAATTCTTGAGTAGCTGCAGAATTGGCGGCTCCTCCAGAAGGGCTCAGCTCCATGAGTAAGTAAGTTATATCTTAAATCTGGAAAAGATAACGAGATATATTTTTCTCCCTCTTAACGTTACTTTTCACTATAAGCGTAGATACAAACGCGCTAGTTCATCATAGTTCTATCTCAACGTTTTGTGGAATAGAGGAAACGAAAATACGATTATGTAAAATCTTTCGGGTTATCAGCCAGATTTATTGAAAGTTACTGTGGTTTCAGGCCGCGCCATAGCTCAAGCTGTTGGTCGCTGGCTTCCCACCGCGGCGGCCCGGGTTCGATCCCGGGTCTGGTCAAGTGGGATTTCTGGTGGACAAAGTGGCGCTGGGGCAAGTTTTCTCCGAGTACTTCGGTTTCCCCTGCCAATCATCATTCCACCAATTGCTCTACAATCACCCTCACCTATCATCTGGGGCTGGTACAATAGGCCAGAAGTGGCCGCAGTGCAAGGGACTTAGTCCCACCCCACTAGCAATAAAAAAATACTGTGGTTTCAGGGACCATCTCTTTCTCCAACATCAGAATGCTTTAACTAACCAAACAAGTTTAATCAGTACAAGGAAATAAACTAAGACGTACTTAAGAATCTAATTTTCATCTTAATGTAATGTAGACAGTAAAAGAGGTAAATTTGTTCCGTTTTTCAACTAATTAAACACTACCCCATGAAGGCATAGAGGAGAGTGGATGCATAGATCCACATTTTCTCGACCTTGACACTAGCTGGAGGTGAGTGGTCAGCTTCACACACTTACCGCTTTACCTCTTGGGAAAGAGTTACCGGTACCCTTTGGACAGGAGCCTGGGTGGGCCCCAGAGGCGGTCTGGACGCTGTGGAGAAGAGAAAATTCTTGGCTTTAACGGGACTCGGACTCCGTCCCCTCGGTCATCCAGCCCGTCGCAATGTAGACCGTACGTAGGGAAAATGAACTCTGTTATAGGAACGTAAGTTAAAATCTTCGAATACTGAAGAGGACTGACTGTGTATACATGTATGTGTGTGTTGTTATAATAAAAACTCGCTAAATTAATCGGCGCTTCAATTACAACAAACTCCGGAAGCTCCTGGTAATCATGTAGTTACAAAGGTTACAAGACAAATTGGTGGTTCCTCTCTGATCCCACACCGTGACACAAAGGCGCGTAATTACAGAGCATGGGGTTTGAACCCATCGGATTCTAAATAACAGCACTAGTAGGAGGTCGGTGGTCAGCGTTGGACTTCTGTCTTGTTACCGCCGAGGAAACCTCTTGGTTACGAGAGACATTTAGAGAAATTTTAGCTAAAGCATTTCAGCCTATCAACAAACGGGTATAGAGGAGATGTAACGTCCTTCGGGGGGGGGGGGGGTCCTTTGGGAAGTCCCCTGAGATATCAGGTAACCTCATTCAGTTCCTTCGTGTTTTTTTTTCCTTGGCACTACAGCCCCAGTGGGCCTAGGCCTACCTGCATGAACTTCTCCATTAACGTCGGTTTTTCTAGATCTTACACATTCGGTAGGCCTTCTTGGGCGGGTGATCAGCTCGTCGCAAGGCCTCTACCTGTACACAAACACAGAAAATCGCACACACACAAACTAAACATCCATGCCCTGAGTGGGATTCGAACCCACGATCCCGGTTTCCAAGCGAGCGAAGACAGTATATGCCTTAGACCGCTCGGCTACCATCACCAGCTCTTCGTGGTTTTACTCAGTCTAATTTAAATGTCGGAATAATACATCTGTTAGTGCCAACATTTTGCGGATAGAGGGTGTTACGTGGTCAGCGCAACGGATCCCCACGGCCGTTAATTTCGGTTTAGTTCGCTTGCGGACTACCGTCCATTTAATTAGGTCACGAAAGCCTCCTTCAAGTGATGGAATGAGAGGAGAATGAGATGGGAAGTCGTATTACCGTTTCCAGGCAAATTTCTTCCGCCAAGGCCAGTCAGCAGACCGACCTGCTTCACCTCTGTTTAGCGTTAGACCAAGTGGACAGATCAATGTTTGTGGTTCGTCTTAAGACAGCGGAATATTGTGTGACGTTGCGCCATCACTCGTGGGTCGAGCTATTCCATACTGTATCAGATAACTGCTCCGTAAAGTAGTCCACAAAAATGTAACTCAGCGTGTCATTCTCTTCAGAGAGAGAAAAATATGGATAGAATATACAGTTCCTGGCTACATAACCAAGGGTTCCGAGTTCGATTCCCGGTACCAGATTTTCTGAGAAGTAATGGGTCTGCAACGGTGTCCACTCAGCTTCGAGAGGATAATTGAGGAGCTACTTGAATGGAAAAGTAGCGGTTCCGGTGTAGAAAATCGAAATTAACGGACTTGGGGATCCGTTGCGCTGACCACGCGACACCCTCTATCCGCTAAAGTTGGCACTAATTTCGCCGACAGGCGGCGGTCGCTAGGTCAGTATAGTTCACTTGCGGACCCAAGTCACGGAGTTTATTTTTGTGTCATTCTCTTCACAGAGAGAGAAATAAGGGTAGAAGGTAGAGTAGAGGAATACGTAAAAGTGAAAAGAGGAAAATGAATGATACGTATTTACGTATTGCCGGGGGTTGGGGAGGCAGGGAAACAGCTTCGGTTTGTTAGATGCTTCCCGGCCTTTGGCCATTCGTCATTCTGATAAGGGTAGTAGCCACGAAATTTTGATTTTCTGCATTAATGTCGGATTATATAGTTTGGAAAAAAATATTTGGTGACTTTTACAGCAAAGAGGCTTAATTGTAATGAATTTAAGTTGGAAAGGCTGCATGAGAAGCACGAAGTTGCGACTTCGAACTTGGGAACCGTCTCAACATTCGCTTAAGAACAGAGGTAAACCAAGTATACCCGTGTCGAAATGGTGCGTTCGCAGGATCCTCCGGTTGCACACTGACATCTAGCGAGCAGTCTGGAAAATAAAACACCGGATAGATTCTAAAGGGTTCTGACGATGATGTTTAACACTCTGAATTACTGGGTTTCTGGATAGTTTATAGAATACCGGACAATGGACATAGTCCAAAAACCCAGTAATTTTTAAAAGTACAGAGTGATTCTAAATTATTGTCGGGGTTTCTGTTTATAGGCAACAACAACCCCTACAGTAATTTACAATCACTCTGTATTTAGGAGATTCCCTAAGGTTTTCCCATACTCTGCGGACCGGAGTGTACTCCTGGACACCAGCTGGGGTCTCCGCTTTAGTGAATTCAGGCATACGCCCTCTCTTCTCGCATCTGTGGGGTGGCACAGGAAATCCCTTATTCACATTTAACTGTATTGGAAAGTGGGATTGGTCACAGGGAACTAAGTAATTATCAGATAGGCCAGTAACTACACAATGTTGTAAAAATAAAACACAGGAAGGGGGGGGGCGAGTGAAGTGGAATATTACAAGTTCAGTTATTAATTATGTATGCTTGGAGCTGTCACCAGTAATCATAAGTAAATTTCTGTTGGCTGTCTACGCCGGGGAGTTTCAATCAATACAGCTTCTAAGCTGCTGAATGAGAGATCGAGGAATTGGGGTTCGGTTCTCGAGAAGAACACGGGATGTCTTTCTGACCGTCACTGGTTCCATCCGGACTCCAATAAAATTGGTATGGGAGCTCGTCTCGCGGTTATCTGCAGCTGTTGTCGAGGTTAAGAATGCATGGAACTATACCTTCACTCCCCCTATATATTTTCGTGGCGCGATGCTTAGTAACGACAGTTTTACTTTCTGTAGAAACTGTCGTAGATATATAATCTACCTAGAACGTATGAATTTAATTAAAATAGTACTTCTTAAGTAAGGTTGTAAGCCTGTTTCAGAAAATGGAACAGCCTTATGGATATGTTCTTGCATTTTAAGGATATTTTATAACGGTATTGATCTAAATTCGGGAAAAACCGCCTTAGAATCTTGGTCAGGATACTAGCTATCCTTCCCATGGCCTACGGTTTCGGAGTGGGTCTAGCTGAAGGACCAAGAAGGTTGGTTTCCTCTACAGCGAAAGACGGAAATAGAACCAGTGTCTAAGTCATAGTGATTTTGGTAAAATTGTGCTTCAGAAAATTTCCGAAATAATGCAACTAAAATATTGTATGCTATTTGGTAGTAAAGTAAAGTTGTCCACGTGCTAAATTAATTAAGCACTACGCCATGAAGGTGTATGGGGGAGTGGATGTATAGATCCACTTTTCGTGACCTCGTGGTGAGTGGGCAGCTTCACGCACCGGCCACTTTATTCCCGTGGAAAGAGCCTCCGGTACTCACTGGATACGAGGTTGTGGGGACACCAGAGCCGCTCTGGACAATGTGGAGAAAAGAAAATTCTTGACCCCATCGGGACTCGAAATCCGAACCCTCGGTTATCCAGCCCGTAGCCAGTCGCTATACCGACTGAGCTATCCCTGCTCCCATTATTTGATAGTCTTGGATTTTTCAATTGACCTAATTCTTCCACCCGCACTGTGGCCCTGGGGTCGACTCACCCTCTAACAGAAATGAGTACCACGAATCTTCCTGGGGGAAAAGGGCGTCCGGTGCATAAGGCTGACAACCTTACCACCATCTGTGAGCCGACTGTCTAGAAAATGTGGGAGCCTCGACGTCACACAACCCCATGGGCCTCCGCGGGCTGTTACAGAGATAGTTTTACCTTTACTTTACCTTTTCCCTTACGTTATATTTAATAGTCTTTAAAGGGTTAATAAAGCTCAAAAGGAGGTTCATATGATACTAATTCCCACTTCAATTGTTGCAGGTAACTGGGATTGTTGGAAGGGCAGACGTTCTGGCTTGTGTGTTCTTCCTTCTCTCTGTCCTGGTGTACCACGGGTAAGTGATTGCTTTTCCGCACCATAACGCAGATCTGGTAGTACTAAAACAAACGTAAGGATCTGTAGCATATACGCTTTATTGCATCGTACTGTAATTTTTCTGCAGTTGAGTGAATGAGCCATAAAACTCCATTGAATAGTTAAGTAACAATGTAGGAAATATACACATAACGCAACATTTGGGGCGCGTTCAGATATTTCATCTTGATATTTTGTCCAGTTAATTTTTACTGCCTTAATATACTTTCTATGCCGATCACAATGGCCGCGCAGTCTAAGGCATGAACTGTCTTCGCTCGCTCTAACGCTGGGATTGTGGGTTCGAATCCCATTGAAGGAATGGATGTCTGTATGCGTTTCTTCTGTGCGTATGTAGAGGCCTTTCGGCAGGTGATCACCCATCCAAGGAGTCATACGGACTGTGTATAGGATTAAGAATTTGAGAAAGCGACCAAGGCCTAACAAAGAGCTGTAGAGCCACAATAATAATACACTTTCTGTGTCTTCTATTTATAAATTATTGCATCTTATATTTATATTATCTCCAGGATTCAAATATTGATTAAAAATAATTAGAGGGCAAGTCCTCGGCTTGTTAGTTGTCAGAAAATAAGTTTAAAATCAAAGAAATTTGACCTTCGATCGTAAAAATAAAATTAATGAAGGAATGAACTTAAAACGAAAGATACTTCACTTCAGTGTCTATATCATAGAGTCACAGATCTAAATTTTGATACTGTGGCTTCGTCTGTTGTTTAGACCGTGAACCGCTGCGTTGGTAATTGTTGGGATGACCATAACTTTGCTTCCATGGACGAGAGAGCGAGTTATTCTCAGAAGACGCATTTTGGTCTTTGTGTAAAATGTGTTTTATTTTTGTGCTATTTTAGTCAAAACTGAATTACGTTCACAGATTTTTAGTAGGGCTTTCCAGTATAATCTGTCACGAACCATCCTGTAGCAACCGTGTTGTTTCATGCGGAGAGACGGACAGACATGACGAAGATATTTGACATTTTTTTTAATTTTGCAGTTTTTGCGAAGGAGCCCAAGAATTGATTAGAATTTTAGAATATATACTCACCTCCAAATATTATTCCAATGATCGAATCAAAGAGAATAAGATGGTCTGGGCATGTGACATGAATGGAAGCGAAAAGTAGCGCTTACAAAGTTTTGGTAGGAAAGTTGTAGGAAAGTGACCACTAGGAAATCATAGACGTAGATGGGAGGAAAATATTAAAATGGATTTTCAATAATTTATATCAATCCCTTCACGTAAATGATGGGATAGTATCTCAAAGGAGCCCGCATCCTTTTCAATGTATCACGCCTATGGGTGACTAAAGACGGGGTTCGGTTTGGCAATTGGATTTATTAACAACCTGCAGGTCGTAACCACAATTAATTGCTACACTAGTGCTAATTTACACAATTTAAAACACTCCACATTTATCTCTTCAGTCTAACTGCACTTCTTTTCTCGGATATATAACACATGAACTATAAAATTCTCACTAAATCACATATTCCCAATATCACATATAAGGTCTTCAAATTACACGTTAAATTATATACTTCCCGAGGCTGTTTCCTGCCGAGAACTGGCTCGTTCCTGAATCGAAAAAATTCTGTCACTTATATAGTCGAGGAACGGACATGCATCACAGGAAACACATGTCACATGACCACTACCAGCTCTTGTGTGACGTCACCGCGGGCACGGCAAACACAGCTTCACTATTGTTGCGTGTTGGACGGTGTTCACAGAGCTGTTGCCTGGCAACACGTTGATCAGATCCGTTACAGTATCATTCACATATCATCCTAATATTCGATATTGTACGATATGAGATAATAGCAGCGTCCTGCAAACAAGTACACGTAAATAAACGTCATGTGTGTTCCTTGAAAGTTGATTAAATTAAAACTGTCTGCTCGGGATTTTGACTGTAGCATAACTAACTGACTTCGTGGAGTTGAGCCCTTCTTGAGGAGCCACCAATTGAGTAGCTACTCAAGAATTTCCCAACACTTTATGGAACCCGAAGGTTAATTACGGTTTTCACAAGAGCCCTCCACTAGTCCCTATCCTGAGCCAGATCAATCCAGTCCATTTCACCCCATACTATCTCTCTAAGATCAAATCTAATATTACATCCACTTACGTATTGGTCTTCATAGTGGTTTCTTTCCTTCTGCTCTCTCACCAATATCCTATATGCATTCCTCTTCCCCCCATTCGTGCTACATGCGCAGCCCATATTATCCCTGTCTTGATCAATCTAATTATACTTGGCGAAGGGTACTAGTTATGAAGCACCTAATTATGCAGTTTTCTCCAACCTCCTGTCACTTCATCTCTCTTCCGTCCAAATATTCTCCTTTGCTCCCTGTTTTCAAACACACTCAGTCTATGTTCCTCCCTTAATACCAGAGACCAAGTTTCACACCCATAGAGAACCAGAAGAAATTTACTGTATGGTAGGTAATCAGAATAATAAGAATAAAATAATAATAATAATAATAATAATTCAATTCAATTCTTTATTATTTATGTGCCGAGTCAACAGCCGCAAGGCCAATTAGAGGCAGAGTACAGTGTAGATAAAAGTAATTGCATTATAAAGTCAAAGACAATTTACAGGCAAGCACTGAGGAAAACACAATAATGTAGAAAAGTAAAGAAACAAACAAATGATAATAATTGCAATAATAATAATTTCAATAATATAAATCTAAGTGTTATTAAGAAGTGAGAAATGAAACATATAAATATTTAATTAAGAAATGAAAAGTATAGATTTTCAGGGAATAATAATAATAATTCAGTTTGTTTTATTGCACATGCAAATAATAATAATAATGAAGAAGAAGAAGAAGAGAATATGCCATTCTGAGTGGCTTTACACTGATACATTTCGTCTGCTGTGTAGGTTTCAAACAGTAAAGTCTAGGCAGGTCAATCGGTATTGCGGCGGGCTATATACGACAACGGTTCCATTCCCGGTAGAGATAACATTTTCTCTTATCCACAGCGTCCGGGCCGGCTCTGGGTTCCACCCAGACTCCTGTCCAATTGGTAGTGTGGGCTGTTTTCCTTGAGGTGTGAAGCTGTCCATTCCCCTACATTTAGTTCCGATATCAAAAATGGTGGAGCTTTGCTTCCACTCCCACATACTTCTTCATGGAAAATTTTTACCTTTTTTTTCTTTGGCATTCATGTTTTTTTCTCTCTCTAAGGAAAAGCAGCAAAAATAAGTGAGGTAAAATAAGACAGATGCATTTGTACTGTCTGTTCATAAGGTTTCAGATTTCTTTACAGTTATTATTAAAATGAAATAGAAGAAAATCCTCCATATATTTGCTGAAGATTAAATAACTGGTTAACAATATCTCAGATTGTAATAACGCCTGCTTCTCCTAGGTGTGAGTACGTGGTTTATGAATGAACTTTTGGCTGGCCAAGGAAATCACTTCGCTATTTAAAAAGGAGAACATTTCCTACCTGCGAGGGAAGTGGAAGAGGGAAGTTTGTTTAGGGCTGGAAAGTGGCTGAAGCAGAAGCTTGTAATGACTTTCACCACGAATTTCTACTTAATCATTCAGCGCCGTAACTAGGAACAAGACCTTGGTGTTTATGAGAGTGCTGTAGTACCGTACATGGAGCAGTGGGGAGGTTATGCATACTAAACGCACCCTCCTCCCAGTGTCTCCTCTATTTCATATCCCTTCCACCCATAAATAAACAACTTGGCCAGACTGTGGTTTATGCAGTTCATATACGAATGTAGCCGCCATCTTTGCTTCGACCAACTCTTTAACTCGGGCAGCGTTGCACAATATACCCTCCCGCTCTAGTCGACAGTATTTCACGGGGCAAATCCCCGGAACTTAGTCTACTACTAAGAGAACAAAACTCCCTTTGCCCAGAAACGCTCCTACATAAGTCAGTGTTGAAGTTCGTCATATCATCCCTTATAAATACGCGAGTTCAGTGTTAGATCAGGACTTTGTGAGGTCCTGACCTTTCCAGACCCTAAGCACACAGTTTTGTGGGTCAGGACATTGAAGGGAAGGAAAGAGTAAGACGTAAATAGGGGTGAAGAAGGAAAGAAGGATATAGGCGAAGAGGAGAAGGGTAGGAAATGAAAGAAGACAAGGAGCTGAATAAGAGAAGTGATGGAGAAGAGGTAAGGAAGAAGAAGGAAGAGAAGAAGGAACAGGAAGATGAGATGGAATAGGAATTGAAGGAGGAGACGAATAATGGAAAAAATGAAGAAGGACGAGGGAAAGGAAATGGACAAGGAGAGGAGAAGCAGATATGGAAGAAGAGGGGAGAGGAATAATACACGTAAAATAAACAGAAGAGGGAAGAGGGGGAAGAAATTGACGAGAAGAGAAGAAGAGAAGAAGGAATGGAAGGAGAGGCGAGAGAAAATATAGAACAAACAGAAGAAGGAAGAAGGAAACGAAATTGACAGGAGAAGATGTGAGAGGAATATTATAATAAATAGAAGGAGGAGGACTGAGAGGAAATGGACAAGAAGAGAAGATGGAATGAAAAACTTTCTCACATACAGGCGATCTTAGAGAATAAGATAAGGTGTTATGGACTGGATTGATCTAGCCCAGCCTAGGGATCAGTGGAGAATTCTTGTGAACATGGTAATGAATCTCGAGGACCACAGACCAACAGTGATCGACATTTTGTCTTAGAACAGCAAAAAGGAATACCCAGAATCAGTTAACAGAGCTATTAAGGCTAGAAGAAAAAAGATTTGAGCAAGGCGTCTGTTACTTCAAAAACAATATTTCTAAATGTATTTAAAAAGGAAAAAAAGTATATGTACAAAATATTAATAGTAGATTCTTAGAGATAAGTTAAGAAATATATTAAAAATCGCGGGGTGACCGCTATGACAGAACAAGATGTTTATAAGAATGTGCTACAGAGGGCAGGATGTGCATTTCCTAGACCCTTTTTTATATTTATATTTTTCAGAATAATAAAAATATAAGCATATCCATCTTTTCAGAATATTACAAGCTTATAGCATGAATATTCAGTGAAACTGTGATTTCTGGGTGTTTCTCAGGGGCTGTAAATTATACAAGTGGATCATTATGCCAACAGTTGTTATGCTGACATCAATACAACGTTCCCCATTGAGTCTGGAAGGGCATGACGGTAGTACAAATATTTTGTCAGGTGTATTAGTGGCTTCTAGACGGGGTTTGGTTCGGTGAATCGATTTATTGGATATTCATCAGTCATAACTACAAATAATTAAACACTCAAGATTACTGTAATTATAACATATGTATGTATGAATGAATGAATGAATGAATATATAAGGGTGTGCCTTCTCAACCCTTGCACCGCGACCTACAGTGATATATTGTGCTTCCCCTTTTGTACGTGGGGACGTCGAAATAATCACTTGGTTCCATAAAGTATTCATCCAAGTGACGTATATAACACATGTAAAGTCACACACTAATTCTTCTCAGGGTGACTTCCAGTTCTTCTTCAACTACGAACTTCCCGTGGCTATGTCCTACCGGCAACTGACTCTGTCAGTCGGAATCAGAGTCAAAGTTACTTTACGACTGGCGGTTTACCGCCAATCAGTTCATTTTGACGTCAGACCCTTGAGACCCACGACCAGAGATTTTTTTTTCTTCAGATGAACTCTTGCTGTAATAGGCCTTACGTAACATTCTCTCTGACGAGATGATGGGTTTGTCACTTATGAATACGCTTGGCCTTTCGTCAAATGTACAGTTCGCAGATGTAGCATCGTATTGAAATGTCGTCCTTATGTACTACACACAAGCCCTCTGTCAGTACAGGCTTTACAGAACAGATCTTGCCTATCTTACATATCTTATGCTACAACGGCAGCTTAGGCACTTGAACGGTCGTAAGCTTGAGCACCGCCAAATTTAAGTCTCTTATACTTTATACGTTTGGCTTCTCCATTTCGTATAGCACGAACATGTATATTCTCATGATTTTGTATGATTTCTGCTTGTCGCCTGCACGATTTCGTTATATAATCGTATACACATGGAAGGTTGAAAACTATATGGTACTTTTAGTATGTAACCTTGTCACGGGCCACACAGAAAATACCTCTTTTACTGTAAGAACCTTTGCGTAATCTAGCAACTAGTCACAGAGAACCCTGTTCGTATTGTTGTTTGGCGCAAATCACATAGAAAATACAGTCTCCCACGTACTGTTGCATGTTGGGAAGTGTTTACTGAGTCGTTGCCTGGCAATGATTTGATCAAATTTGTTACAGTATTAAATATTTTAACGTATATAATTATGCTGACCACAAATTCTTATTAATCTTATAATATGCATACATACTTAACAAATTTTCTTACATTTTTATTCTTGATGACTTGTATATCTTGATCACTTTTACTGGTGTTCACTGGTATCGTAATGTAATTGCACCTAAATCCCCTCATGTACCATTCATTATTATAGTTATACTTAATATAAATACCCAATACGTATGTAAGGTATTATGGGATATTTGCTCAAATCAAGAACTGTGGAGCCAGAAAAACAGCTCTGAAATAACACTCGTTTCTAAGCAATGGCTAGGTAAGCACGTTCTCGCGGCTACAGATACGCATGCAACAATAGAGGTTCTGTTGGAAACGATGTTTTCTTATCGGTCTCTGTAGAGGGGTAGTAAGGAAGACAACTGGGGAAACCGAGTTAGTTCTCTACGGGAGGCTGTAAAGAAAAGGTTCAGTTGGAACGAAGCCGCTGTTCAGAATGGACTTGAGCCCGGAAGCATAGGAATAGCCATTGTTAGGAGCCGTTATCAGGCAACCACTAGTGAAGACACTGCGTGCTGGGAAAAATTTAGCGCTTGTTCTAGTGAACTGTAGTGTGTGGAGATCAGCGATTGCGCTGTAATTAAGTGTAATTATGAGTTGTGTGCTAAAGTTGTCAATCCAAAATCCCCTCGAGAGTCACTCATACACGTGACAATATTCAGTCGGTAATTACTTGTACCGTATTTGCAGCTCAAAACACTTTCAGGAGCTGGTATTTCACCAACAAAACATACCTCTCTCTTAATAATCGGACACTTGGAGGCATATAAGTTGTGCGCCATGCTTGGTATGACGTCAGGCTAGCTTAGGCTAACGAACCCCTTAATGAACATCAAAGAGCTTTAATTAAATTTAAATACTGTATTCACAAATAGAACCACATATATCCACAGACTTTATACAGTAAACCAACCCCATAACTAAAGTGGCCTTCGGTATAATTTTTGTTTTCGCCGGCACACACACACACACACACACACACACCTCGAGGCAAATTACCCTTGCGTTAGTAAATTTGATGAAGATCTAGAAGCGGAGTTTATATCTATTAAACAAATTAAGCCGGACAACGTACTCTAATTTGCTTAAAGGTAAAATTTGACACAGCTTGAGAGATATCAGTTTCTGTCTCTCTCTGATATAGCGCTCTCTTCTTCTGTTTCATCTGCCTTCTTCATGTTATCACTTTATGAGAAATTTATCTGACGGTAACTAGGTTACCGTTTGAAACAAACCTGATTTCATTAATTGTTAAGTTTCTTACTAAAATTTAACGTGAAATGTCGATTTCTTTGGGTATCGTATTAAGGTTATATGTAGCTGAAGTGAAGGTCGTTTTCTGTAGATCATGACCGTCTCAGTCAACAGAAAGTGGAAGCTAAAGTTTGAAGATTGATGACTGAAGAAACTGGTAAAGTTGAAAGTTTGTTTTGTAATATGATTACGTAAAGGGAAGAATGAGTAAATTGAGAGAAGTTATCAAGTATGATTATCTGGAAAGGGAGGCGACATGCTTCGAGTTAAGGCAGAACTCCGCTAATAATATTTGCCGGTCTCGAAGCACGGTTCTTCTTCCAGTTCAGTGAATCAAATTCGTTTATCAGCAATTACAAGTAGAATGTTTCAGATGGGTTTATATCTCCAATTTGCTCTAATTTATTATCATCACCAGTGAGACAGATGTATGAGGTTTGTGTAGAAGGAAGATTGTAATATAATTACCAATATTATGATAAATTATAAGATATCTATTCAAACATTAAAGTTTATACTCAGGACAAACAAGTCATAATTTTCTCCACTTCTTCCGTACTAAGGATAGGCTAATGTCCCATTCGAATGATAATTGAATTGCTCCTCCCATCTCTTTGTTGGTCTATCTATGTCACTTCTTCCTGTAGGACCGTAATGACACTCACGCCAGGGCGAAAGTTCAGGGGTCATGCTGCATTTCAGATCCCCACAGCAGTGACCGAGTTCTATCCTTATGAATATTACACCGTGTAATCCGGTGAAAGTCAACCGATGTTTGGAGGGTTATATCGTCTCCATCATCAGGTTAGAAGAGTACGGAAAAAAAAGACCAGCATGAAGCAGACACCATAGGTTTGCTTTTTGCCCTGAAAATGGAGGTGATATTTTCCTCCTAACGTCAGGTGATTCTCCCAGCCCTGGACGGCGTTATATCCCTGAAGACAGAATTATTTCTACATATTCTTTCTGTTACTTTTGATACTGTATCGTTTCTTCTATATTTCTCGTTTATGGACATCCCTGTACTTCCGTACTCCCCATTTTGGATGTGAGAGCAGGTGGTACGCACAGTAGATTTTTACTTTAAGGGTTACAGTAAGCGTATAGAGTTCGTCCGTGCGAAAGAATACACGAACTACACAAACACAAACACAAACACAGAGTGCGTGGCAATCGCAATTCATTAACAGTTCTCATTGTTGCAGCCACAGTGGAGGGCCCGGCTCTGTGTCTGTGTGGATGAGTGCTCTGCTGGGAGGCCTATCCATGCTGGCAAAGGAGACTGGTATCACCGTAATGCTGGTCAATCTGACCTATGACCTCTACAGATCTTGGCACTTTATAAAAAGGTATATTAAGATTTCCTTGTATGAATACTCTTAATGTAGAAGTAATAATCTTAATAAGATTGTCGTCTTCTGGGGTACGACGCTGTATATGAGATTCCTTCGGGATTGCTTCCGAGACGTGGGGTTAGGAAAAGAATGTGTATAAACTTACCCTTAATAAATTTAATACTACTTACCTACCTACCTACCTACCTACCAACCAACCAACCAACCAACCAACCAACCTACCTACCTACCTACCTACCACTCGGCGCTACAGCCCTGGGTGAGCCTTGGCCTCCTCTACAACCAGTCTCCACAACCAGTGCGTGCTGCCATAGGAATAGACCCACGCATGATGAACCGAGGCTGGATGTTACCTTTCTGAACAAATTCCTTTTTACAGGATGAGGTTGTTAGCCTCATGCCTAACCCCCAACCTGGAGGACCAGGGTATCTCTCTTAGTCTGGACTGTACCCTTTGACCTTTCCGGCATGGGTGACCATACTGATAGTTAAACTACCGCCGGCATAGCTCTCCAGGTCACAGAGTCACGCAAGCTCCACAACCCGACAAGGTGGAGACATCTTTGGGGAAAAATTTAATACTACTTTCAGACATTATCATTTCTATCTGGATAGAAAAATGGAATTTGTTTAAAGATCGTTTTAGTACTATTAGCTTCCTTAAATTTAAATTTATTTTTCAAAAACTAAGGACAGGCAGATGCACAGCTTCCCTCCTACCACCACTGGAAAATATGGCCGTATGATATACTAATCAGGGTTTCGGTGAAATATTCTACTTCTCTCTTCATGATAGTTTCGGGAATATAGAGACAACAGGTCACTCCAAAACGTTGATAACCATCTATCATACAACACGGTGTCAAACCCATAAGACTACAAATTAATATCCTACACTTTGGTACCAAGGGGGCACGCGGTAGCGTAGTTGGTTGAGGCAGTACGCTACAATCAGGAAGGTCGTGGGTTCGAGTCCCGATGAGGTGGATTTTTTCAACTGACCTAATCCTTCCAGCCGCACTATGGCCCTGGGGTCGACTCAGCCTCTAACAGAAATGAGTACCAGGAATCTTCCTGGGGGTAAAGGTCGACCGGCGCTTAAGGCTGAAAACCTTACCGCCATCTGTGAGCCGAGTGTCTAGAGAAAATATGGGAGCCTCGACCTCTCACAAACCTATGGAACTTCACGGTCTGTTACAGGGACAGCTTTCGTACCAACAATTCTATACAATTCTGAAAGGAAGAAATTACATTTCAGTTGCTGATGTTTAGTTAAACTGTGTTTTCCACACAAGTGCCGCCCCCCAATGCATAATCCTTCGTTACTGCAGGGTGGAGACCAGTCATTATCAGATGAATACATTTCAACAGAATCGTGCACACAGTATGTAGTTTCAACACAGTCATATCCCTAATCTATTCAATTAATGAAATTGCTGTATCTAACAGGCTATTTCAACATGTCTCCAGCATATGTCTTCGCGTGGAACAAAGTTAATACTTTTGTTGAAGAAATTTTCTGTTATAATTAATGACATTCTTAAAATTAATATTCGAGAGCCTTTAAAGAATTTGAAAAAAGCCGTCTTCTGGGATATGTCGCCGTGTAGATATTGAATTAACCGACGTTTCGGAGGGATGTATCGCCTCCATCTTCAGCGTGGAAGAAAAATCTGCGAGCGAGGTTCCTATAATTTCATTACCACGAGCATTATAATTTTAAGTAGCACAGATTAAATCGTTCCGTCCTTCTTCTTACCGGATGCTCCTTATTTCTTCGTCAGTTTCGTTGATAGAAATTGTTCTTTTTTTCGGATATATCTCAAACGCCCTTTATATACATTTTGGCTCTTTATTTCGACAAATTTTTCATGTTATATCCATATTTTTCAGTCAGTCCAATTACTTACATGCCTCATCATTTTACTTTCTCACCACAGCTCCAGATCCTCAGCGTAATCGAGTGGGTAACCTAACTTTCAGGATACCTCGAGCTCAGATCTCTGTCCAAGGACCGGACCAACCGAGTACTTGCTAATCCTTTTCTGTCTCCACATGCAAATATTGTGTTAATATCTTAAATTAGACGATATCCCCTTCTTGCATGCCCGTTTCAATTCTTTATTAAAAAAGAATTAAAGCTTTCGGAGCTATAGGTACGTAATTGTATGAAATCTGTCACAAAGCCCGTTCGCTTAGTGGGGGGTGGAGTCCAACTGGGTCCACTCGGCACGGCGGCCAGTGATTGGCCTATTGTACCTGCCCCGGGTGATTATGATGATGGAGAACTTGGTGCAATGAAGATTGGTAGAGGAAACCGAAGTACTCTTAGAAAACCCACCCCAGCGCCACTTTGTCCACCACAAATCCCACTTGACCAGACCCGGGATCGAATCCGGGCCGCCGCGGTGGGAAGCCAGCGACTAACCGCTTGACCTATGGCGCGGCCAATAACAAAACCCGTTGTTGTGGCAGGAATATTTGTAGATTCTGAAGGGTTCTGACGATGGTGTAAAACACACAGAACTACTGGTATTTTGGACTTTTCCCATCGTCCGGTATTCTAGAAAGTAGAAAATACGACGTTTCGGAAACTGGATCTGTTTCCGTCCTCATGTGAGGGGCGGAGACATCTACTCATTTGGGCCCCTTAGAAGGAGCTAATCTCAACCACTGGTTAGAAGTCCAAAACCCAGTAATTATGTAGGAATATTTGTGACTTATTTGCGGGAAGTTCTATTTTCGAATCTCGGCTAGGGCACCGGCTGTACAGAGTGGGGTGTTTCGTAGTATTCCTCAGTCCATCCAGGCAAATTATTGAATAGAATGTCGATTAGGATGTGATTGCTTCTTCGAAATCCTTTCCAATTAATCATCCCTCATCATATCACGTGACGCTGTAGTGTCGACACTAAAAGTATGCTTAAGTAACTCACAAAAGACTGAGAACATTGCCAAATTAACTGCTGAAAGTAAAAATGTAAACAAGATATTAAAAAGTTTGTGACGAAGGTACATTGGTTCAAATATTATATTTTTTGACATTATCCATCGTCTTGTCTCTGTCTGAAAACACCGGCCTGTTTATTTTTCAAAACACAAAATTTTGGAGACTTGATTTTTCTCCGTCTTCAGGTAAAACCTGAAGGTGTTTTTATATAAAGACAGGACTAATGGTAATGTCCAGATACATGTTTGTAATGAAAATATGGTCGTAGTGGTAATAGTGTTTATGGTGGTAGCAGTAGTAGTAGTAGTAGTAGTAGTAGTAGTAGTAGTGGTAGTGGTAGTGGTAGTGGTAGTGGTAGTGGTAGTGGTAGTGGTAGTAGTAGCGGCGGCAGTAATATGGTAGGAGACCACTGTGAAGATCAAAACTTAGGTGGGTGAACAATATTAAAATGGATCTTAGACATATAGGATCGGATGGTAAGGACTGGTTTGGTCTGGCTTAGGATAGGGACCGCTGGAGGCTCTTGTGAACACAGTAATGAACCTTCGGGTTCCATAAAATGCTGGGAAATTCTTGAGTAGCTGCAGAATTGACGGCTCCTGAAGAAGGGCTCAGCTCCACGAGTAAGTATATTTGCTAAGGTAATGTGATTTAAAATTAATTCAACTTATATTCACTAAGATGATTACGGTCTTCTTCGACGTGACGACGTGTAGTTTTGTAGAAATGTAGCGAAGAAACCTCCATTTTCAAGATGCTGAAACATTGACACCTACCAAAAGCTACACATCATCACATTGCAAAACATACACACTTTCCTAGACACTACCATGTGAACATAAGTCTCATTTTGAGATGTGTACATTCGTACACATATGCAGTCTGTAGCCACCTGCTCACGCTGGTTCCTCGCTCGCGGACTTTTCTACCTTGAAGATGGTGGCGATATGTTCCTCCGAAACGTTGGTTCACACTAGATCTACACGGCGTCACATCCAAGAAAAAGGAATTCTTCTATTAGTCACCGCCATGAAAACCTGAAATCTTACAAATATTTGATGTTTTCACGTCTTATATTTGCAGTTCTGATATCAAGTGAACCAATTTCAGATTTATTAAATGCATGCACCAGAGTGTTTAAAATTAGTTCTGAGAAGGGCACGTAAACCGAGACATAGAAATAACTAAATTCCACGTAACGTGTGCCTTCCTTTTTCCTTTCAGGACTGTAGTTGAGGTCAGGTGGAACGAGGAGTCAGTCCACTTCTTCCGAAGAGCGGCCAAAGTGCTGATGTCTGTGAGTATTCATCATCTACTTTCGACTAGCTCTCTGGTCGTAGAACCCAAAGATTCAACACTGCTGATACGAAACTCCGGAATAAGGCACAGTCATGAATTGATTCTGTCTACGGACAGTACCATCATATGGGAGCTGAAGGAGTGAAATCCAGTAGAAATTCACCAGCATTCAGGAGCAACTGCCTCCAGTCCTCAGTGTGAAAAGGGTGAACTAAACAAGCAGGAAGCAAGTTGCCTCCTGCAGAATTCGGTGAATTTCTACAAGACTACACGGCATGACATCCAAGAAGATAGTAGTCATCATAGTCATCGCCATGAGAGCCTAAGATCCAAGGCGATTTCATGCATCACAAACCATCAAAAGATGTTTCTCTAAGATCTACTTTAATACTATTAGAAATTCCCTTCTTGGTACTAAATTCCGCGGTCAAGGAAGAGTCCTGCTTCATATTAAGTAGATATCGGGTTCAAGACTTTCCTCGGTAACATAAAAGATATCTTCCATGATTTTCCTCAGTCTTCTCAGTGTAAATACTGGGAAAGTAGTTCGAATAAGATCGAAACAACTTATTGTGGCGGTGACTCTGTAAACAGCGGCCGTTGCTAGGTAACGCTTGCAACAGTGGAATAACTGTGTTTTCTGTATTTTCCATGCCGAGATGTTATAACTGAGAGGTTTGGAGCTTAGTCAGGATAGTGAGTTCTGTACATACGTCTGTGAAGAGAGGACCTGAGCCGGTGCCGTTACCAGGAAACGTCTAATAACAGACTGAGAACACTAGACTGTGTGCTCTAGTGAAATGTAAAGTGTGGAAATAGCGATAGTGAAACAGTTATTTTTAAATGACCAATAGATCTAGTCACCAATCTGAACCACGCCAATAGTCACACATACCACTACGAGATTTTATGTGCATACTTTTAGAGGTAATTAATCACAGATTATTCTATCAATGGACATGTACGAGTATAATCGGAGCTACTGAAAGCATTGTTAAATAAGCGAGTGTTAAAAATTGGCAAAGGATGTAGAGACTGAGAGGGTCCAAAGTAAGTTTAAATCCATTTTTAAAATTTCTGAGAACCGTAATCGGCTTGAAGCACCAAGTTAACAAGATGGCAGAAGAAAAGAAATATCCTTTGGTCTTCCAATTGGTTTGTTTCCACTGAGGATTCCGTAACCACAACACGGGTATCGTGAGAAGAGGTGAAGTTAAGTACGGCAAATGAAGGGATAGCACTTATAGCTGTACTGAGGGAGTGAAGGGCGTAGGGGGACACATTCTAACGAAATCTCTTATTTAGTGGACTCGACGAAATGAACTTCTCGTTCTATTAAGATTATCCAGGGCTGAAACACGAATAATATATCAGTTGGTCCAGACCTCAAATATTGTCCTACGCTTAGATTACACCGCCTATGTGGTCTAGTGGTCAGAGTTCCTGGCTACAGACCCAGAGGTCCCGGGTTCAATTCCCGGGGCTACCAGATTTTCTAAGAAGTAGTGAGTCTGGAACGGGGTCCACTCAGCCTCGTGAGGATAATTGAGGAGCTACTTGAATGGTAAGTTACGGCTCCGGTCTAGAAAAACGAAATTAACGGTCGTGGGGATTCGTTGCGCTGACTACGCGATACCCTCTGTGCGCTAAAGTTGGCACTCACTTCGCCGAAAAGCGGCGGTCACTCGCACGGTATAGTTCGCTTGCGGACTAAAGCCACGGGATTTGTTTTTTAGGTTACATCAAGTGGTAATTAATCATGAGACACGTGACGGTTAGACAGTTGTGTATTTCGGAATGTTTACGTCTTCGCTTCGAAGCAAGTCTCTGTAGATGCTACTAATCTATGAATCTGTCATTCAAGTTGATGTGTTTTCATGTAGTTAAAAGTATCAGAGCGCATGGCGTCAAAATATTCTGAAAAGGAACTTTACGTTCTGAAAGAAGCTTTCAGGATGTCAGGCCATCTTTATGTGCCAAGATTTTGTGGGAAGCAGGTGCCAGCCATATGCCTCCCCTCCTGTTTCCACTAACATATCTCTCTTTCCTCTTGCAGCATACAGATCCTGTATTATTAGTCAATCATTGCACTGACAGACAGCTTGCCAATACCCTAGCCCACACACAAGGAATAGCCGCGTTCATTTCAGACACATAAGGAACGCTAAGTGTATCCGTCTTGGTGGCAGTATCATGCGCCTAGAATCTCAGATACGAACGTAATCCCATGGCTTTGCAATCTGTGATTATTGTGGAATAAGGGAAACAGCATATCATAAAACATTAACGCACGGAGGCATTTGTGTCATTTATTATGGATACTTTTATTTTTCCGACAACACAACCACCACCACCATCATCCTTGTTGTTGTTGTTGTTGTTGTAATGGAATTATAGGATGTATTCATCTTCATTATTGTCTAAATGATAGAATTTACCTTGTTTTATCTTTTGTTCGTGTGTATGTGTTTGTTATCTTTCATTCTTTGGCGCGTGTTTAATTTATAATTGACCTTTGGGCTGCATAGGAATTACGTAAATAAGTAAAGACTTGAATTATTATTATTATTATTATTGTTATTATTATTATCATCATTATCATTATTAGCATCTTACATTTTTTGCACGATGTAGCGTAGTTGGTTGAGGCACTGTGCTACAAGTCGAAAGGTCGCGGGTTCGGGTCCCGATAAGGTACTTTTTTCAATTTACCTAATCCTTCGAGCCGCACCTTGACCCTGGGGTCGACTGAGCCTCTAACAGAAATGAGTACCCGGAATCTTCCTGGGGGTAAAGGACGGACGGGCCATAAGGCTGACAGACTTACCGCCATCTGTCAGCGAGCTGTCTAAAGAAAATGAGGGAGTCTTGACCTCTCATAACACTATGGACCTTCACGGTCTCTTACAGGGATAGTTTTACCTTTTTACCTTTTTATATTTGTTAGTGTTTTGTTTGTGTTTTTCCCCGTCTTTACTCATGCTGACATTCTAATTGGCCTCTGGGCTGATAAATTCACGCTTAAATAAATAAGAATTGAATTGAAATATATTTTGACACTGCCACAATGAATTCCATTTTTGTATGCGTAAGCACGAAGTTTATCTTCCCTTATATTATTATATAGTCACATATTACTACGAACGATCTCAAGCAATTGGACTGGCCCTTCTAAATAAATAATTCTAATTTCAGGCCAAAGTTTTCACAGATAACCCCCTCCAATGATCAATTCTTAAACATCATATAAAGGCTTAATTGTACATGAACGCTTTCAACAATACAAAACTATTTACGACTAAGCCTGCAATGATGACGAGGCGTGGAATAATTTCACTGCCGCCTGGCGGTCCTATCCGTAACTACTCCATGACCTGCAGTTCGCAAGCGAATTATACCGACCGAGCGACGGCCGTTTGTCGGCGAAGTTAGTGCCAACTTTTGCGGATAGAGGGCGTCGCGTGGTCAGTGCAACGGTTCCCCACGGCCGTTACTCTTGGTTTTCTAGACCGGAGCCGCTATTTTTCCATTCAAGTAGCTCCTCAGTTATCCTAATGAGGTTGAATGGACCCTATTCCAGAACTGCTACTTCTCAGATACTCTGCTAGCGCCTGGAATCGAAGCCGGGACCTCTGGATCTGTGGCCATGAACTCTGACCACTAGACCACAGAGGCGGTCACTACTGACAATAATAGTTTTTACATAAAGGCGCAGTAAGGACAGAATTGCGAGTCTTAGGATTTTATATAGAAGGGTTATTAAAATGCAGTCAAATGTGATAGTTTCCACTTCTTGTGTTGGACTACATTTACAAAGATACTAGAAGAAGAAAAGAAGAAGAAGAAGGAGGAGGAAGAGGAGGAGGAGAGAAGGGACGAAAAGGGAAAGAAGGTTAAGTGTAAAATGATGATGGTGGTCGTGGTGGTTTTGAGTATGTTGATTGTAAAACAAGAAAGCACAGAAGAACACGGTTAAATACTTTTAACACTTTTATTGCGAGGCCTAGAATTATAGGGGGGTGATTATGCGAGAAATACCGTGAACAAGGGAGAAGAAGGGGCTAGAAATGTACGTTATGGTTCTGTATCAGGTTTCATCTGCAGAACTAAGGAAATCAATGAAGAATCCAGCCGTGAAATTCGTTTCAGAGAGCGACAGAGAGAGCCATACAAGCACGGGCCTCCTACCGGGGAAGGAGATAAATATGTAGTGAAATTTACCGTCCCGAAAGAAAAACAATAATGGAAGTAAGCAGAGCTCTAACGTCGTACTTTCTGCTCCATTCTTGCTTATCCAGAAGTAGACAACAGCGTGTTGCCGATAGGCTAGCGGGATGTTATTATTAGTTTACACCCAGTGCTACGAAATTTGGTAACAAGCGGCTCTAAACATAGTATGATCCATATGTCACGTGTATGAGGGTGACTATAGATGGGGTTTGGATTCATATTTATTCGGATTTATTGTACACTTGTACACAACTCATATCTACAAGTAACTGTAGCGTTATTGCTAATTCATGCTCTGCAATTCACTACAGCACACACTTAAATCTTCTCAGTCTACTGAGTCTTCACTCGTTGCCTGGTAACGGCTACAATAGCGGACGTTCCCCTTCCTCTCGACTCCCAAACTGTCCCCGTGCATCAGCTACCAGCTTCTCACAGCAACAGCTCTCAAGGACTGAACTCACTCACCAACCAACTCGCCACACCCACTGACTCCCAGGCCGGCGGCCATCTCACACCGTCTTCCTACTCTTCTCAATGCCGTCTGGAGACTCTCTTCTATTAGCAGCTGTCCGTCGTTATTTAGCATCGGCACGGACCGCACAGAGAACGCCGCTTCCAGCAGCTCTTCTGTTATTTCGTGCGAGTCTTTTGCGGCAGTTACCTAGCAATGGCCATTGTTTACAGAGCCATTACTTAGCAACAGCTGTTGATAGCTACTCATTTCGTGGTCGTTGCCTAGCAATAGGTCTACATGCCACACTATTG